CATTCTTTGATGGAGAAGAGGGAAAATTACTAACTAGGTAAGACATACATTAATTTGGGTGAAGGGAAAGGCAATATACAAAAAGTGGGTGACCAGACAGTATCATTAAGGAAAAGAAAGACCATGGAGAGTCACACAAGAGGTACAGACATCAAAGGTAAATATATTATATACACGATACTGCATTATCAGTAACAAAAAAACATTAATCCACAAGTGGATACATAGGTAGACAGGCAAGATGATCAGGTATGGGTAGAAAAATGGGACTATACTTATAACCAAATATTGGTTTGTTAGACAATATTTCTACATGCATAAAAGACATGTTTACCTGTGTTTTATTGACTATGCAAAGGCATTTGACTGTGTAGATCATATCACTGGATAACATATGGATAATCATATGAATAACATCGCAAAGAATGGGAATTCAACAGGATGGATTGACACAGTAGCTGCAACGATGGGCTCAAGTATAGCAAGGACTGTGAGGATGGCACATGACCAGGGAGTGTTTCATTCTGTTGTACACAGGGTCACTACGAGAATGGCACCTAACAACAGCAACATTTATATGTGATGCAAAAATTTCCATATATACAGTAGAGCTAACAGGGCAAAGTTATGAAGACTTCTTACCCATAACCAAATACCTTGAAGGCTCAGAACCATAGTCAAGGGAGACATCAAGGTCATTTGGTGTAACAGTCCACAAAGACATTGTTCTACATCCTACTTTGGTGAGTAGGAACTGGGGTCTTAAAAGCTTGCGAGTGGCCATCTACAGTGCAACTATTGGTCTCGTCTCGTCCAGAGCAAAGAACAGTGAAGAAAATCAAAGATGCATGGAAACTATTAGTCCAAAGAACTAGTGGACCACAGGAACCTCAGCCTACATGACCCTGATACAAGAAGAACTAGATGGTGCCCAGCTACCACTGCCAACCACTCTGAAAGGATCACATTAGGAGATACTTGATAGAGTGAGAGAAAAAAAAATGTGGACAAAATTCAAAATTATTTAAAAAAAAAAAAAGACCAGGCTTACTGGTCTGATAGAGACTGATGGAACCCCTTCAACTATGGCCCTTAGTCACCCATCAATCCTGGAACTGAACTCAATTCCAGAATTTAACTTGCAGCCAAACAACAGGCAGACCTGTAAGATGAACAATAATACCAGGGAGGCACACACTCCTTAGAACAATCAACCATAAGAGATCAGAAGGGCAGCATTTGTACAAGGAGATAGCTCATAGGGCAGGAATGAACAGATGGGAAAGAAGGACAAAGGGAAACTGTAACCACAGAGAAGAAGTGGGAAGAGTGCTGTTACATTGTAAGGATGGTAATGAATGTCACAAAATGTGTATGAACTGTAAAGTTTAAAAACAAAAAAAGAAGAGTATTATAAAATGCAGCCAGATAAAAATTGATTTTATATTTATTATAAATTGTTGCTGAGGACTCGGTCATTATATTTGCTCAGTGGGCTCTTTAATCTTATGTCAGAAATTACTTTTAGGATTTAATATCAGGACAAATGTGACGTGCCTATTTGAGAATAAGAGTGGTAAAACATGTTGGCCCCTTTGCTCTCACTTCCATCTGATGAACGCTATAAATATATAGCTTTTGTTACCTGCTTTCACCTACTTTCATATTCTGATTTACTACTACCAGTTGTCATTATCCCTATGAACCACTTCTTATTTAATCAGTAAAGAGATGGTGTAAAGTTTAGTTACAGAAGCTAAAATCCCATGAGAGTTGCCTATATATTATTATTAAAACATACTATTTAAAAATCAATATTTCAAAGTAAGTGTCTACTAATAAAGATTTTGTTTCTAATATTTTAAGATGCTTATTAGCCCTAGAGTTGACCTATTACAGATACTAGAATAAAATCCCAAACCACTGCCATTGTGTCGATTCTCACTCACAGTGACCCCCACTGGGTTTCCAAAGTGGTAAATCTTTACAGAAGTAGATTGCCCCATGTTCCTTTGCAGAACTAATGGGTTTGACCCTCCAACCTTAAGTCAAATGCCTTAAGCAGTGGAATATTGGAATAATGATTATGAATTTGAAACATAAAAAAATCTAGATATATAGTCATGCCAGAATTTGGATACTCAAACAGAATTTGGATACTCAAACATTTAAATTTAAACTTCAATTTAGTATTTCTTTACTCAAAAATGATTTCAAATTGTAATTTAATTGGCATTTTAAATTGAAACTGAGTAACACTGATAAATGACAATTGATACTGACTAGGGAAACTCTGGTAGTGTAGTGCCTAAGGCACTTGACTGCTAACCAGAAGGCTGGCGGTTCAAACCCACCAGCCACTCCTCGGAAGGAAGATGGGGCAATCTATTTCCATAGTGATCCTGCCTCGGAAACCCAAGGAGGGGTTACTACGTGTGGGGTCCAACTTGACGGCACATAACAACAGAGAAACTAAAATTTCTACAGAATGACTATTACTTTGTTCATATAGAGCTATTTCAACTGCAATATTATTTTCTTGTGCTATTTTTATATATTTTGTTTATACTAACACAATAATAGTAAAAAATGCCCATGAATGTAAAAGGTTACTGAACCAAAACCTCAATTTAAAATTCTATTTCACATTTTTATAAGAATATTTTATTTTTCTAACACAATTTTTTTTCTTTACCCCTAAATATCTCTTCCAAAATCACACATCTGAATAAAAATGTTGGGTTTTACTGTCATTTATCAATCTTATTTCCTTCTTGGCCATTTCTCTTCATCCATCTAAAACCAAACTCACTGCTACAGAGTCCAATCTGACTCATAGTGACCCCCTCTTTGGGTTTCCGAGGTGGTATCACTAAGGAAGTAGATCGCCCAATCTTCCTTCCGTGGAGTTCAAACCACCAGCCTTCTGGTTAGAAGTCAAATGCCTTAGGCACTACACTACCCATCTAGCACTCATAAATTCTGTCCACTAGAGGACATTTTCTTTGTTGGTTACCAGGGGTGGGAGGGGAGGGGAGGGAATGCTGTTAGATAGATAGATAGAGATAAGTATTGATTTGGGTGAAGAGAAGGGC